GGACTACTTCTAGATCACTTTTGGACTACTAAGGGGGGAGTTTCTGACTATTTTCGATTTTTCCGTCCTACAGAATCGGCCTGTGGGGGGACAGGCCCGACTTAACTCTATATACAGTGGAGGCCCTTGCCAGGAAGCACCCTGCAATGCAATGCAATGCAATGCAATGCAATGCAATGCAATGTACTGTACTGTATCGCAAGGTGCGCCTCGTCACGTGGCAGCGCCGCCGGGTCCAAAGCAGAGTCTTCGCCAGTTCACTTTCCACGTGGCAGCGTCTGGGCGGGCGACTGAATACGGTCCCACTCTGCTCGTCACGTGGCAGGGCCGCGGGGGCTGAGAAAGATAACCATTCCACTTCATTCGCCACGTGGCACCGCCTCGGGTGGGCGAACAAACTGCCACAGCGGGGGCCCATGCCGAGAAACGCCCCGCTTGCCTCCAAGGGTGCCCCGGGCTTCTTGGGTTCCGATGGTTCTGCCATGGAAGGCGTGGCGTTCCCTACGCCAGCAAAAATCCATGGGCGTCCTGGGGTCTCAGGGTCGGGCTTCTTCTGGAGGGCTTCCTGCGGTCGGGCCCCTCCTGCAGAGGAGAGGAGGGGCGGCGGGGTCCGCGCGGTGGGGGCCGCCCGGACAGCGCGCCGCGAGCCCTGCCCAGCTTCGCGCGGCACAGGCCCCCCCCCCTGACGCCGCGGGGCGGGCTTGAGTCGGGCGTGTCCCTCTACAGGAGGAGTCATCAAAAACAGTCAAGAATTACTCACTGCGTGGAGCTCCCCAGATGTGCATCTCATGTTTTTATGACATGCCACAGTGAGCGTCTGTTCATGAGCGTTTGAATATAATAGCGCGGCCACATGGGCGACAGGGCCGACGAAGACGAGTGAATCCTAATTCGAGTGAGTGAGTATGATTGAATATGAGCCTCCCATGCATTCCCCCTCAAAACGGCCGCGAACGGGCCCGTGTCCTACCCCCTGGCGGCTCGCCTTAGGCATGCTGAAACCAGCGCCCCGCCTGAGACATTTCAAAATCTGCTCTGAAAACCAAGGATGTCGGGCATGAAAACGATCAAACCTCTACAAACTGGCTGCGAACGGGCCCGTGAGAACACCCCTGGCGGCTCCCCCTTAGGGGTGCTGAAACCAGCGCCCCGCCTGAGACATCCTCAGAAAGCCAAGGATGTTGGGCATGAAAACGCCCATGGTTTCGGACTCCATACAATAAACGCTCCAATCCTTTATGACGTTCATCGCGCACACACGCACACTCAGTTGGGCGCCCAGGAGCCTGGGCGTCCATCAACCCCGTGCTTTGGGATTCCATATAATAGACAAACAATTCTTGATGGTGGTGTGCATCACACACATGAACCCTCGGCGGCTGCGCGCCCCAGGCCCTGGGCGTCCGGGAAGCCCTTGTATTGGAATTGTTGACGCTTCGCGTATCCCCACCAGCCCATCCAGAAACGATGCTCAGGGGAGTTGAGGTGATCAGGGGAGTCGGGGAGCATGCAGAATAACAAAGGGCGGGGGAAGCTGTCACAGACCCCGAGAGGGGGAGGATGGAAGAGGAGTCGTCGTCGTCGTCGTCGTCGGAGGAGGAGGAGGAGGAGGAGGAGGGGGAAGAGGAGGAGGAGGAGGAGGAGGAGGAGGACGGAGAAGGAGGAAGAATCGGAGGAGGAGGAGGAGGAGGGGAAGGAGCTTCTTGGGGGTCTTTTGAGGGCCTCTTGGAGGGCTTTTTGGGCGCCTTGGGGCATCTTGGGCGCCTCTTGGGACCCTCTTGAGGCGCTCTGGGGAGCCTTCGGGGCGCTTTTGGGGCCATCTTGGAGGGAGTCGATCAAACAAGAGGGGGGGTTTAATTAGCGCCCCCCCTCGGAAGCCCCTAAAATCGCCTCTTGGACCCCTCTTGGAACGCTCTTGGAGTGCTCTTGGGCGCTCTTGGGGCCGTCTTGGGGCTCTTTTGGGGCTCTCTTGGGGCCCTCTTGGGCCATCTTGGAGCCATCTCCAGGCCTCGGATGGCCATCGGAAGCGAAAAGGCGAGAAAGCAAAAATCATTGATTTTCCTTAGGTTTTGGGACGATTTTGGCCTCTTCGGGGCCTCCTTGGGGAGCTGTTTGGCCACTTGGAGTTATCTTGGGGCCGTCTTTGGGCTTCTTGGAACCATCTTAGGAGCCATCGTGAGCGATCTTGCGCTATCTTGAGCCATCTTGGAGCTCATCTTGGGTTCTCTGAGGCGCTCTTGGAGCCGTCTTGGGCCATCTTGGACGCTCTAACTACCCGCGGCCCCCCCCGTCCAGGTCCAGGGGAGGGGGTAGGGGGAGGGGTAAACCCCTCCCCAAGGGGGAAGAGGGAGGGGTGGAAGAGGATCTGCTCTAGACCACCTACGCCCAGAGGGCTGGTGGGACTCCATCTCATAGACATCCCTTTTCTTGGTGCTCTTCACAAGTTGGCACCCGGCTGGACGCCCAGGAGCCTAGGCGTGCGGGAAACCTTTGCTTCGGGATTCCCTATAGTAAGCATGTCGCTACACTGTTCATCACACACACACACACTGCCACTCGGCTGCGCGCCCGGGAGCCTGGGCGTCCAGGAAATCATCGCTTTGGGACCCCAGATGATAAATACTCCCATTCCTGATGGCTCTCTTCGCACATTGGCACTCGGCTGGGCGCCCGGGAGTCTTTTCGTCCAGGGAAACCTGCTTTGAGATTCCATGTCATAAGCACGCCCATCCCTTGTGGTGTTCTTCGCACACACACACACACACATTGGGCTGGGCGCCTGGGTGCCTGGGCGTCCGGGAAGCCCTTGCTTTGGGACTCCAATTGATAAGCGGTCCCATGATGTATGGTGTTCTTTTCTTCGCACACACATTCGAGTGCGCGCCCGGGATCCTGGGCGTCCAGGAATTCCTTGCTTCGGGACTTCATATGATCGGCATTTGGATGTTTTTTGTTCGCACACTGCCACTTGGCCGGGAGCCTCGGCGTCCGGGAATTTCTTGCTTTGGGACTCCATACGATTAACATTCCCATTATTTCTGGTGTTCTTCACACACAGACACATTGGCACTCGTGTGGGCGCCCGGGTGCCCGGGCGTCAGGGACACTTTTGCTGTGGGACTCCGTTCAATAAGCCTCCTGTTTTCTGTGGTGTTCGTCACACACTGCCACTCGGCTGTGCGCCCAGGGGCTTCGGCGCCTGGGAACCTTTGCTTTGGGACTCCATATAGTAAACGCTCCCACCCCTTATGGTGTTCATCACACACACGCAAACTCAGCCGGGCGCCCTTTAGCTTGGGTTTCTGGGAAGCTGTTCGTTCGCAGCCCAATTTCATAAAACATTATGTCGTTTTATGGTGTCCGTTGCACATTGGCATTCGGCTGGGCGTCCAGGAAAACCTTGCTTTGGGTCTCCAGTTGATTAAGAACCGCTCCCATCCGTCAGCATGTTCATCACACACACACACACTCGGCTGGGCGCCCAGGAGATTCGGCATGCGGGAAGCCCTCGTCTTGGGGACTCCAGATACTAAACACCCCCATTCTTTGTGGCGTCCCTGACACAGTAACACTCGGCTATGCGCACGGAAGCCTCGGCGTCCAGGAAACCATTGCATTGGGGCCCATATCATGATCATTCATCACAGACACACACACACACTCGCACGCATACACAGTCTCTCTCGGCAAGGCGCCCAGGAGATCGGCCATCCAGGAATCCCTTGCTCCGGGGTTCCACATAGTACACGCTGCCATTCTTTGTGGCGGTCATCATTCACACACCAACATTCGGCTGGGCGCCCAGGAGCCTGGGCGTCTGGGAAGCCCTTGTTGTCGGATTCCATGTCGTAAGCACTCCCGCTCTTATGGTGTTCATGACACCCAGTGGTTCTATGCTGCGCGCCTGGGGGATTGGGCGTCCGGGAAGCCTTTGCTTTGGAACTTCATATAATAAACACACAAACGAAGACACATACACAAACACATTCTGTTGGGCGCCCCGGGCCCTGGGCGCCCGGGAAGCCTTTGCTTTTGGACTCCATATAGTAAACGTTCCCATTCGTCATGGTGTTCATCACACACATTGCCATTTGTTTGTGCCTCGAGAAGCCTTGGCGTCCGTGAAGTTCTCGATATAGGACTCCATAACATAAACATTCCAATTTTGCATGGTGCTCACCACACACAAGGCCCGGCTCCACCGCTCCTACCGTAAACCACTTACCAAAGGTCATTCTTGCCTAGGCTCACTCATTCGCGCAGCCGGTTCTGAACATATTGGATGCCTGCGTGGGCCGTCTTGAAAACCGTCTTGGATGTTCGGGATGCCGATACGGAAGTGTCGGGCTGCCCTAACAGAAGCCTCAGAAGGGGATGAGCGAGGTTGGGCGTGAGTAGAGGTGGGCGGGGCACGTCAAGCAAATATAGCAATTGTTTCAGGCAGCAGTTAGCATTATGCCACCTCCCAGAGTGCCATTGGGCACGGCACGGTGGCGAATTCGCTTGACCATTTGCTCGATGCGTTGTAGTAGCTGATGTTGTGTCAAATTGTTGTTGGCGACGCCACTGAAGTGACATCAAAATAGCCAAGTCTCCGCACCAGACATGCTGCGACTCTCTGCGTTAACCCACGTTGCCACAGGCAGTTTAAAGTCAGAGGACAGCCACAATGATTAGCGACATCACCCCACTGGCAACAGAGTTCGGTCCTGCCCTCCCCGCAGCCACCGACGCTAAGGTTCGAGCCTCGAGCCCCGTCCCGAACATAGGCGATTCCCCAGCGTAGCGCAACAGTTGCAGTGCAGGGCGGCGTTGCGGAATATTCGTGTTTGCATCTTACCCCAGCGACCAGTGTGATGGCAACAGCGTAACAGTGCAGTGCAGGAAGTTTCGTGTTTGCTTTACGGTTGGGCCAGATGATAAAGCCGACGACGACGGCGGCGGCGGTGACGACGACGACGACGACGACGACGACGGCGGCGGGGGGGCGCGCGCGGGAGGCTGCGGAGGCTTCCAGCGTGGACGCGGCCGACGCGGCCGGGGGCGACGAGCATCCGCCGGGGCAGCCCCTGAAGCAGGACGAGCTTGAGCATCGGAGCCCTCTTGTCGGAGGCTGCCACAGTCAAGCAGTGGCGAGTCGTCCTGGCTTGCCTTCAGTCGAAGAAGAAAAAAACGCTTTACACATAAACTTTTGGCGCTCCGCGCGGATTTCTTGCATCTGCGCTGGGCCTCCTTGGCGGCGCTTGCGGTACCGCACCTGGCGCGCTCCGCGCGCTAGATTGGGAGGTCCAGCGCGAATCCAAGAAATCTACGCGGAGCGCCAAGTACACGCTTATGGTTTTTGTCCCTTCTTCCTCTTCTTCTTATTCTTCTTCTTCTTCTTCTTCTAGGGCGGGGGGCATCACAGTCGAGCATCTGATTCAGAAACTCCCCCCCCCCCGAAAAAGCGGGGCCAGCGCTTCTGTTAACCAGCTTACGGGGAAGCTGGCCCAGTGTCTTGAGTACGCTCGCCCTTCAGCGGTAGCAGCAGAAATTGGCCCAGGCTCGTTTCAAGAAACTTCTGGGAAGCTGACCCAGATTGCTGACACCATTACCTTCTTGGTCCTAGTGCCGGCTGTGCATGTGCGTGTCCGGGTGTTCCGATCACCCACGTGTTCGTCGAGGCTCCCAGGCGAATACGTAAAGTGCCTTCCCGCATGTCCAGACAGCCCCTGCTGTCGCCTCAGTTCGTTCGTCTTCTCCGCCCATCGCCGTCTTCTGCGTTGACACTTCGCCAGAGGTCTGCTGTTGGGTTCGGTCGGCCGTTGCGTGCGCCCAGAGAGCTTGAAAAAGGACATCAGATGAGTTGGTAGGGCGTCGGGCTGCGCGCAGACAGCCCCCCCAGGTTCGGCGGCGAGCGAGGGGGGGAAGTCAACATTAGGAGGTATCTGTAGAAGGTGGCGGGACTTCTCAGAAGCCCTCGTGCCTTCTGAGAAGTTGCTGTTTTTGTTTTCGGGGAAGGCTTAGACAACTTCCAGGAGGCCGGGGAACTTCCGAGCCTTCTGAGAAGGCCCGCCCCTTCTCACTTCCTCGGGGCCTCCTAGATGGGGCCGGAGTAGATGGGGTCGGAGGAGCGCGCCGCATCGCCGATGCATCGCCGATGCATCGCCGATGCGGCTCGATGTGGAGCCCGATTTGCTTCACGTCGACGTCGCCGATTCATCGCTGACGTCGACGATGCATCGCTGGTGCATCACCGATGCATCGCCGATGCATCGCCGATGCATCGCCGATGTATCGTCGGTGCGGCGCCATCTTCCGACCCCATCTACTCGGACCCCATCGAGGAGGCCTCTGCTTCCCCGCCCCTCGCTCGCCGCCGACAGGGGGCCCTGGCTGGCCTCGGCAGGCCCCCTTCGAAGCAGCCCCGGGGCGGTCTCAGCACCTGGTCCTGGTACGGGGACTGGACGTCCGAGCGGTGGCCAGTGGTGCGCCGCCTCCAAGGCGGCGCCCCTGGGCGCGCGGCACCCGGCTGGGGTGCGGAGGGCGCCCCGTGCTGTTCGGAAGGCCCGCCGAGGCCAAGTGGGGCTACTGTGAAGTCGGGCCCGTCCCCCCGACAGGAGGGATGCTCGAAAAAATGGGCTACATCTAGCGTGGGGGCGATGTTGTCTTTGTATTTTGTGGGCCAGTTCGAGGACTGGTTGCTTCTAGGTTTTACTTGTCGTCCAACCCCCCCCTGTAGGGGGAAACGCCCGACCTGAAACTACTGGGGGGTGGGGGCTATCTTGAAGTCGGGCATGCCCCTCTACAGGAGGAACATCCAACCATAATGGGGGCGAGTTGTCACTATGTCTGACTATGTTTGAACATTTGTTGATTGTTTTCTGCCAAAATCCGTCTGTAGGAGGACCTGCCCCTGTGCGGCGCAACCCAAAGCTCTGCCACGTTGGACGCAGCTCGAGCGCGAGAGGAGTGACATCCAAGCAGGAGCTGGTCCTCACAAGCCTATGAGTCGCGCCTGCTCGAGGAGCGGTCACCGAAGTCTCGAGGCCCGGGGCAGTGGCCCCCACACGTCGGCAGTCGGAGCACGTGTGTTATCTACGGGGTCGGGTGGACATGTTGATGTTTCCTTCGATCGCGCGTCAAGGCCCCGCTCGGAAGGTGGCGGGCCTTCTCAGAAGCCCTCCGGCACTCTGAGGAGACATCTCGATGGGCCTGTTGTCCACCACCACTACCATAAGTTGGAGGGGGAGGGGTCCTCCTCCTCCTCTTCCTCCTCGTCCTCTTTCTCCTCCTCCTCTTCGTCCTTCTCCTTCTCGCCCTCCTCCTTCCCCCCATCCAGCTTATGGTGGTGGTGGTGGTGGAAAACAGGCCCATCACATCTGTGGCTTCGGCGAAGGCTTGGAGAAATCGTCTCAGAAGGCTTGATTTCTTCCGAGCCCTCCGAGAAGAAGCGCCCCTCGGTCTTCCCTTGGGCGCGCCGTCAAGCATCGCAGAGCCCCGGGGGGGTAGTGGTTTCTCCCATGGTTTGAAGTATCGTTTGGACCAGCACGTCGCACGCGTTCGATTGACATGTGGAGATGGTGATCGAGGTTATTGGCAGAAGATTCGATAAGACTATATATGTAGATATCGTGAACATGGAGCAGGCTGAAATTCCACCAGAAATGCCAGTCCGAGCGCACGCACACTACAAGCATGTTACGCAGCTTGCTCCTGCCTGCTCGAGAAATCAACAGGTCGCTTTGGGAACCCAGCGATTGCAATTGCACACGCGATGGATTGGGTGAGTGGATAGTTTGGCGATTGCTCGGGCATGCTGCCTCTTTTTTGTACGGCGTCGAGTCGGCGTCAGGCGGCATTTGCGCCCCCCCGCCATACTAAGAGAGCGCAGATCTGCGCTTGGTTGACCATTGAGCTCCACTCGCCATGTCTTCCCATCCATGGCAGCCTGCACAGCCGCTTCGGGGAAGGCCAGCAGAGAGCATCTCCGTTTTCTATTCTGCATTGCCCCGAGGACGGTACAACAGCCGTGAGGTGCGTTGAGGAGCGGGCGGCAGCAGGGATTGGGACGTGAATTCGAAACAGAGAAAACGCCATAAACATAAATTGTTTGCGCTCCGCGCGGAATTCCTGGATCCGCGCTGGGCCCCCCCAGCGGCGCCTCCCGCGCCGCCCCGGGCGCGCTCCGCGCGTCGGGAAGGGGGGGGCCCAGCGCAGATCCAAGGAATCCGCGCGGAGCGCCGACATTTTATGCTTGAGTCGGCCCTGTCCCTCTACAGGAGGAATGTTCAAAACAGTGCAGCCTGGGGGCGATGTGTTCAGCATGTGTTGCTTACTGGGGGGGGCATCTTGTTGGTACGTTTCGTTTGGTTGCCCAAGCTCCGCCTGCAGGGGGACATGCCCGACCTAAGTGTATGTTTGTCGGGGGCGGCAAAGTGTATGTTTGTCTTTTGCGCTTTTTCTCTTTCTCTTATGAATGACGAAATGGGAGCACAACGTCGTCGCCGGGTGCGGCCAGCAGAGGCTCTGTCCTTCCCTGGGGCTTGGGTCATAGGGGCTGCGGCTCGTAGGCCAGAGGGGCCGAAGGAAGTCTCCTCCTTCTCCTCCTCCTTCCCCTCCTCCTCCTCCTCCTCCTCCTCCTCCTCCTCCTCCTCCTCCTCCTCCTCCTCGTCGTCCCCCTCCTCCTCCTCCTCCCCCTCCTCCCCCCTCCTCTCCCCCCCCTCCCCCCTCTCCTCCCCCCCTCCTCTCCTTCTTCTCCTCCTCCTCTTCCTCCTCTCCTCCTCCTCCTCCTCCTCCTCCCCTCCCCTCCTCCCTGCTCCTCCTCCTCTTCATCCTCCCTACTCCTCCTCCTCCTCCTCCTCCTCCTCCTCCTCCTCCTTCCTCCTTCCTCCTCCTCCTCCTCCTCCTCCTCCTCCTCCTCCTCCTCCTCCTCCTCCTCCTCCTCCTCCTCCTCCTCCTCCTCCTCCTCCTCCTCCTCCTCCTCCTCCTCCTCCTCCTCCTCCTCCCCCTCTCTCCTTTCCCTTCCTCCCTCCTAGCTGAACGCAATTCTGAAGGGTATGGCGAGGATGGGAAGCATGATGGTGTTGACCACTGGCATGTCCGATGCCACCCGCGGGAGCAATACGATGACGCGAGGACGCCCAGAGGTGTTAATCTCGATCGCGATGACCACGACGTCCACGATGGGGATGACGTCGTGATGCGAAGGGTCAAGATCGCCAGAACAGTCGACCGTTCGACGGTGAAGGTTGTTCGACGGTGAATGATTTGCTGGTGGTGTTGGTAGTCTCATTGCCTGCATCTGTAGAGGAGGGGAGACCATATCGTCAACACGTTGACACACGAGCCACGTCGGGCTCCGGAGGCGCCCTGGCTTTCGGGCCAGTCGTTGGAAGTAGGTATTCTGGGATTCTCGCATCCCAATCTACTTTAGGCGCCTTCCTACTTCAAGGGTCGAGCGGTGTTCCCTCTTCCCTCCTCTTCATGGGGCAGGCGGACGCCCAACCTGCTCCCAGGGCCTTTGTGATTTCTGACTCTGCCTACTTCTTCCCACGGATGGGCACTTGGGTCGGGGAGCCTGCTCCCTGGCCGAGGCTCGCCGTGGCCAGAAAAGCAATTGTTTCGTTCCTTGCGCACGCGCTCCCTGTGGCAGCACGAGGGCTGCAGCAGGGCTCCAGAGGAGGAGGAGGAGGAGGAGGAGGAGGAGAAGGAGGAAAACTAGTAGGAGGAGGAGGAGGAGGAAGGAGGAGGAGGAGGAGGAGGAGGAGGAGGAGGAGGGAGGAGGGAGGAGGAGGAGGAGGAGGGAGGAGGAGGAGGAGGAGGAGGAGGAGGAGGAGGAGGAGGAGGAGAGAGGAGGAGGAGGAGGAGGAGGAGAGAGGAGGAGGAGAGGAGGAGGAGGAGGAGGAGGAGGAGAGGAGGCGGAGGAGGAGGAGGAGGAGGAGGAGGAGGAGGAGGAGGAGGGAGGAGGAGGAGGAGGAGGAGGAGGAGGAGGAGGAGGAGGAGGAGGAGGAGGAGGAGGAGGAGGAGGAGAGGAGGAGGAGGAGGAGGAGGAGGAGGAGGAGGAAGGGTGGGAGGAGGGAGGGGAGGGGGAGGAGGGATGAGGGAGGAGTTAGGAGGAGGAGGGAAGAGGGAGGAGGAGGAGGAGGAGGGGGAAGGGGGAGGAGGAGGGGGAGGAGGAGGAGGAGGGGGAGGAGGAGGAGGTGGAGGAGGAGGGGAAGGAGGAGGAGGAGGAGGAGGAGGAGGAGAAGGAGGAGGAGGAGGAGACGGAGGAGGAGGAGGAGGAGGAGGAGGAGGGAGAAAAAGGGAGAAGGAGGAGGAGGAGGAGGAGGAGCAGGAGGAGGATCAGCACGTGGTTGGGGGGGAGTTCAATCCACCCTACGGCCTGTCGCCCTCCTGTTGGGACGGGGCCAGTTGCTGACGGTCAAGAAATTCCTTCAGTCTGATTGGGGGGCAGCTGTGTTTGGAGGGGGTGGAAAATGTGTTTCCGGGGTGTTTCCCCTTACAGAGCAGATTCCACTGGGTTCTAGCACCTGGGCGCTTGAACCTTCCTCCACAGACTTCACTAAGGCCCACAACATTCGATTCATTGTGAAGCCCGCACAGAGCACATGCAAGAAACAAATTGCACCCCTGGCCCCTTAGGGGACATATAGCTGATGGCCGCGTGGGTCAGCAGCTGGCACAAAAGATTCCGAGCGATGTCCTTTGCAAGCCTCTTCCGTGCGGCTCGCAAAACTGTTGGGTGCACATCTGGACTTACAGATGGCACAAACCCACTTCTCATTCCTCCCCCACTCCCACACATGGAGGTAGCGAGGAGGGGGAGGAGCCGCAGGGGCAGGAGGAGGAGGAGGAGGTGGGATTGGTTTCTGCCACACAACATGGGCGCTACGCGCTCAAGCAAGAATCTTCTGGGCGGCGCCCTTGCCCCTGTATTCAAACGCTTCTTGCTGGTCTTCGGTTCCATTCAGGCTCCCACAAGATTAAACCCTTGGCAACATACATGAGCCACCTCTTGAGCAGCTTCTTTTGCTTCCCGGCCTCCTCTACTTCTCAGCTGGAAGGTCTGAGCAAACACTGGGCACCCAGCTTGGCAAACTTGTCAGCGAAGTCATTGCCTGTGGCATCCAGCCACTCAGTCGATCCTCCGGGGATCATCTCACGACCTGGATGCATTTTGATTTTCACACAAGCAAGGTTATCATGCCACTCTCTGTTTCCTCGGGCGAGCATGGCGAATCTACAGTACTGTTGGCGATTCTACACATCTAAAATGCTTTTGATAGTCCGTGGTAATCTCAGATATCGCTCGGGGAGGGGCAGTGGCAGCAGCAGCAAGCACAGCACGGCGCCCCGCAGAGGGGGAGGATTGAGGGAGATTGCTGCCGACTGGTCCATCGACCGCTCCTTCGAGCTCGCCACTCTCGTCGATTACCACGGTGGCGAAGCCAGCGGCATGAAAACAAGAGCGTCCCTGTTTCAGACATGGTCCGTCAGTGTACATATTGCCTTAAAAAAACGTCTTGGAGGGACAGCCCCTCCTTGACCCAAAATTTACAAGTGTTAAGACTGTTCCCGAGACCTTCAGGGGCAATCACCGAACGCCCTGGCCTCATTTGGAAGCCTGCCTGAAACGGAAACAATGCCAGATACTGAAGTTGGTCTCTTTCATGCTGGGAAAACATTTCTTCTCTAAGCTGAGCTGTACACAGGCAATTCACTAGTCTATGGTGAAGATCGCCGGTTGGGTGTCCACATTGGCACTGGGGCTCTGCGGGGTACCCTGCTTTCTGAAGGCACGTATGAGTCCAGAGGCCTTGCGTGAGGAACGCTCTGCGGGTACTCTTTTCGGGGTCCGTGATTAGGTTGGACTTTAGGAGCTCCTGAGCGACGCTGGTGTCCAACTGGCCCTCCAGGCCCAACTTCTGTGCAGCCTGTGTCCTGAGCTCCTGCGCCCAGGCATCCTGGAGCCAGTGCTGGAGGAGGGCAGGTGAGGTCGTGGTGAGGCTGTTGGTCTGGGTTTTCTGGCCAACTATGGTGAAAGGGCCTGAGAAATCCAACCAATACGAGCAGCACTGAGGATCGCTGCACCGAACGGGCCTCTGCATTGGCTCCATTTCCTTGTCGGATCTGCAAGGATGTCCGCGGCCATGGCGCGGAGACCTGGAAGTTTAAAGCCAGGCGCGAATTCGCTCGTCATGGCTCGCCGCACGAGCGTAGACCACAAAAGAATGGGTCCTAGACCTGATCGCCAGCAGGGATCCTCAAATAGATCCAGCGCGAGCGAAACCCATCGGTCTGAGGTCCCTTGGCCAACGACTTCCAATCTCATAACCTTTGAGCCTGACGGAGTTCCACGTCGTCCATACCAACCACTTCTGAAACGTAACATTGGGCTTGGCCAAAACCAGTATTGTAAACTTTTAGGGTATTTCCACCAGCTTTATGAACCGCTCGAATATTTGGGACCTTCGCGTTTATCTTAGCGTGTCTGTATATAAGCTTGCTGCTGCATATATGTTTGCCGCTCTTTTGACCAGCTCGAAAATCAACTCCTCGGTTAGCTGCATGTGTTGGGGCAGAGCCCGAGTACTTGCCTACCTGCTTAGCTAGCTTTTTCTGGGTACCCACTGAGGTCGCGAGCACAGCGGACTTGGCGACTGCGACCGGACAGTACAACTCGAACTGGATGGCCCACAGCATGCCAGCGGCCGCTCTCCCCAGTTCCGCGACGAGGGTGGCCCTGCACTTGTGGGAGAAGAGAAGGAGCAGGTCGTCGACAAACGTATGGAGGGAGACCGGCACGTTGGAAGTCCACATATCTAATGGTTCCACGCAGTACATCTGGACCAGGAACGCATCAACACTGCAGCCTGTTGGGATACCTTTCGGCGTAAAGCCTGCGTAGGATGTTTGATTGTTTAACGTTATCATACGTTGACTCTGGTATTGGTTTATGATGATTGGCATGATGGCTCCCATTAAATCCCGATTCGTATACTCTCGTTTGCAGCTTCCCTCTGTTGAATGTTCATAATGATTCGT